CCCAGCTCTGGCTCTGGTGAATTCTCTCACCCTCCTGCGCTTCTGACTATACCCAGTGCTTGTATAAATAAATAAATGAATTTTTAAAAAAAGAAAAAAGAAATTTAACTTTAAAAGAAAATTAAGAAAATTAAGATAAATACCTATACAGAGGTATCATCAGATTGGAGAAATAGTTACAACATCTGAAGATTCCTCTTGTAAAAGGGGGTATGGTGGTTGTGAGATGTCTGTGCTACAAGCTATTGTCTGAATAAAGAAAAAAAAATGTATGAGACTCCATGCTCAGTTTCAGGGGAGATGGTAGTAGGAAGAAACCTGTTAGAAAAGGTGCCTACTTTATAGCTTCTCCTAGATGGTATCTGAGGCAGAAACTAGGTAGAAACTAGCGTAGGGTCTCTCTCACTCTACACACTCCTCCAACAATCTTGTCTGCATGTCTATAAGCTGGTAATACGGAATGTCCATCTCCAACACAGATGGAAGTCCAGTCCTTGGATCCATAAATCCAGCTTCCTTCATTGTTATATCCTCTTGGACTGCTTTGAAATTGACTCAAAGCATCCAAACTTGATTTCATCATTTCCTGCCTTGTTGCCCCCTGTATAATAAATAATTTGTTGGGATTTATGTCTCCAGTGGGTGGGATGTAGCCAATATCCTAATTTTCGCAGTGACGGGTTATTTGTTTTTCATGGTGGGTTATTCACTTTTGAGTGTGTGCCAACAGGCAACCCCTAGATAGTTTGTGTCAAGGAGATGACTCAGGACAGGGTCTAGTGAGGCCAAAAAGACCATGTGATTAGATGCTGGGATTTGGAGCTGGCTGTTTATCAGTCTCCTCTGTGGATGGGAGAGGGGCTGGAGATTTTCAGCCTCTGGCTAATGAGTCAGTCAATCACATTACATAATGAAACCCCAGTAAAAATTGGGGTAACAAAGCTCAGGTAAGCTTTCCTGTTTTGCAATACTCTACATATTATCTTACATCAGTGTGCCAGGAGAATAATCCATACTGACTCTGCAGGGAAAAGATAATGGGAGCTTGGAGTTTGGGATCCTCCCACACTTTGCTGCATGTGTCTCTAGGTCTGGTCGGTTCTGCTTTGTATACTTTTGATAAAATAAAATTGCAATCCTAAGTCTAATATTTCCCCGAGTTCTGTGAGTTGTTCTAGTGAACTACTGAACCTCAGAAGATATTGGGAACTCTCAAACTTACGGTCAGTTGGACCCCCAAACTACAACTGCTGTCTGAAAAGGCAGTTTTATGGAGGTCTGTCCTTCACCTATGAAGCCTGGCTTTGCTCTGTGTAGCTAATGTCGGAAATCATTTCACCCTCCAGATCTGCTCCTCCCACAGGGTTCATTATCACAGCGACTGGCCCTTCCATCCATCCATCCATCCATCCATCCACCCACTTGCTAATGAGAGTAAATCATCACAGATGATTCTTCCCTCCTAACTGCCCTCTACACAATGAATCAACACATCCTTCCAAGTCTACCTCCTAAAAAGCTCTGGTACTTATCTCCAACTCCAGTCCAGCCTACGAAGTCCTTTATAATCTCATCTTTTCCTTTCTTGTATCATTTTTCTTGTTGCCCATAAAATTCTGGTCACATGGATCTCTTCTCTGATACTCGACAAGTTTACTCCTACCTTAGAACCCTTTCACATTGTGCTGCCTCTGCTTACGTTTTCACAGATCTCAGTGTGGCTGGTTCCATCGTAACAGTTATATCTTGGCTCATGTCTTCATCAAAGTGGTCTGCTTTACCTCCCAATTTCAAGCAGCCTTCCAATAGCGATCTCATTTCCCTGTTTAATTTTTATCATAATAGTTTTTTCTTTACAGTTTCTGATTTACTTCTCATCAGAATTAAGTCCCAGATCATGTTCAAATGCTGTATTCTCAGGGCCTAGATCAGTGTCTGGTATACACAAGATATTCATTTATGGAATATCTTAATGGGATAACCAGGTATTACTGAATTCACTGAATTGGATTATCCCAGTGGGTCTCTTGTATTGGTTTTGTTTTTCTCAAATCCATTCTCCACACTGTAACCTGAGTCATCTTTCTAAAACACCAATGTGATGACATAAAACTCACTAATATTTTTAGCATTTAGAATGCTCTACCCGTGAGACACTGAAGACAGGTCCTTTCATAATCTGACTTCTGGGTACCATTCCAGTGCACTCTTCACCCCCTCTACTCTCTCCGGTCATGTTGAACCACCCTGGACACTCGAGGCTTTCTTACCTGTACATATCTCTTCCCTGTGACACTCACTTTTCCTCCCAATTTCCCTGGTTAACCCTTATTTATACTTTGGGATCTCCTTAACTACCACTTCTTCTATAAAACCTTCCCTGAGGGCCTCCCTGGTGGTGCAGGGGATTAAGCACTGCACTATGAAGCAATCCGCAGCCTCTGCAGCACAAGTTTGATCCCCGGCCAGCCAGAGAAAAACCTACATGGTGAGGCAGACCTCTCCTGGCTCACCCACTGCTCCCCTCAGCAGTGTATTTCAGTCAATCTGCCTGTTATGTTCCCCACTCTCTCTCTGGTGGATCCTCTCACCCCTCACATCTCTGCCTGTACCCCAGCTCTTGTATGCATAGAAATAAATAAATTTAAAAAAAAATAACACAAAAAACCTTCCCTGATTTACTATAATTGAGTAGCATACTCTTCCAGCTGCTCCCACAATACTCCATCACACCCCATCAAGGCGCTGATTTTGGATGTGCTATAATTGTCTACAGAGTTGTCTGTATCCTTCCCAAAAGCATAAGCTCCTTGAGGGCAGGGGTACTCTATTGTTCTCACTGAGCACAAATGCCACAGGCATGTTGTAGGTCCTGGATAAGTATTTGCTGGATGAGAGTAAATATATTATATTAATCTAATATACTGGAAAATCTGCTGGCAAATTCAGAAATCTTCACTATTCCTTTCATGTTCTTCATGGTATTTAAATCAACGTGACTCATAGAACAGGTGCTCAAACAGTGCTCAACACTAGATACAAGTATAACAACTTCCTTAACTTGGTGAAGAGAGAAAAATCGAGGACCCCTTAGGTTTCTTGATGATAGGAAGTATTTATTTAAGGATACTAGCAAGGCAACTTATAAACGTTCAAGACCTAAACCTACAGTTAAAAATCAAGTTATGCAGGGCCTCCCTGGTAGTGCAAGGGGTTAAGACGCAACCTGTGAAGCTGTCTGCAGCCACTGCAGCACGAGTTCAATCCCCAGCAGGCCAGGGAGCAAACCCACATGGCGCAGCAGACCTCTCCTCACTTGCCCACTGCTCCCCTCAGCAGTGTATTTTGGTCAGTCTACTTGTTCTGTTCCCCACCCCGTCTCTGGTGAATCCTCTCACCCCTCACACCTCTGGGCTATACCCCAGTTCTTATATGCATAAATAAATCTTTAAGTTATGTAGTCTCTTTCAACATGTCCCTTTGGTTTACATTTACTAGTATTAAATTTTAGCTACACAGGGATATTTCAGTCTTTATTCAAAATAGCTAGTACTTAATAAATAAGTACTAAGTTGTTTAACTCTAGGGAATCCATTAAGTCCCCCATTTTATTTTTTTTTAAGATTTATTTATTTATGCATACAAGAACTGGGGTACAGGCCAGAGGTGTGGGGGAATGAGAGGATTCACCAGTGACAGAGTGAGGAACAGAACAGGAGGATTAACTGAAATACACTGCTGAGGGGAGCAGTGGGAGAGTCAGGAGAGGTCTGCTGCGCCATGTGGGTCACCTCTGTTGCCGGGGATTGAACTCGTGCTGCAATGGCTGCAGATTGCTTCATAGTGCTGCATCTTAACCCCTTTCGCCACCAGGGAGGCCCCAAGTCCCCCATTTTAAAGAGTTATTGATGAGCAAATTTTTCTTGACACCTTGTCACTGAAGGTTAAGAATTTTTATTCTTTGGTATCATCATAATTTGTATAAAGATATATACACAGATACATGATATACCTATAGAGTAATATGACAAAGTTTTTAAAATAAACATAGAAGTTATTCATAAAAATTAAATCTCTCATTCATAAAAATTAAATCTCAAGTAGTGTTTCGTGGACACTCATTCTCACAATGGAACCAGAGTTCAAACTATTCTGGACACTTTTTCTGGGATTGCCTTTAGATCCTGCATCGATTCTTTTAAATATTCTCATAGATGAAAACTCTTTGGCCTCTTTTACATTGTAAGCAACTAGTTGTTAGAAGCTACGGGTAGTAAATAAGGTCAACGATCATGACATTTTGGATGAAAAACATCAGCAGTAAGTTTCCTTGTGTAAATGATATAGATAGTATAAAAACAATGCCAAGAAGCACTCTAGAATGTTGAGAGGGAGAAAGAAGAAAGAGTAGGAAAACTGGTATTTAAAAAGCCTCTTCTGAGAAACTAGCAAAATTCTGGCTCATTCCTCCCCTTACATCTATTTGCATACACTATTAGAAAGGTGTGAACACACCTATGGAGGCAGATTAAAATTTCAAGGTTTAGAGCAGTGGCTGTTGACTTTTTTCTTTAACTATAACAACAGAAAAAAAATTTATACTGTGACCCAGATTTTACATACATAACCATAATTAAAAATTTCACAAATAATTTCCAAACATACTATATGGAATAGTATATGGTATCACATCTATCTGATTTCCTTAAGGAAAATTTAATCCACTGCACTAATTTCACAATCTACAGTTTGACAAACACTGGACAGAGTAACTGTGGCCTAACTGAAATAAATTAATGGAAAAGAGAAAACTCAGTTGATTATAAAAACTCTGATGTTATTTAAACTAACAAGCACAAAAGTCTATTTTCTCTTTAGATAAACCTTTAAGAAACTGGATTCTTTATGGGAAAACTGTGCTGAGTTGGTCATTCCCCAACACAGCTAACTGTCAGAGACACTGATAAATGAATCAGACAATGGTCATAGAAACCCCATACCTTAATATTAGAAAACCATAAATCGTTTTCATGTAAAGTGGCCAGGTAGACAGATGTAAGAAGTCCAATGCAAAGGGCAGTGGCTCCACCAATTGTAAATGACAGGATCTTCCATAATCTTCTACTGGTAAAACCTTTTATAGAAATGAAATAAATAAGTCAGTAAAAAATGTAGAATCCAAAAGTTCTACTTTAGACAACTAAGTGGCTAAACTCCAGGTGCCTGTCATTGATGAAGCTTCCTGTGTCCCAGCAGCTAGTTAGGCACACTGTTCTGTGATTCCACTAATCTGTTTCATACTTTCATTACAGTGTTTACCCCAATGTATCAACCTGTTCACTTGTCCATTTTGCCAGCTACAATGTAAACTTCTTGAGATCAAGTACATTATCTTAATCATCTTAATACCCCCTCTAGCAAACCATAACACTATAGTTTAACTAATAAGTTTGTTAAATGGAGGAATAAATGGGTTACATACAGGATGTAAACAGTCTTTTTGATGGTCTACTTATAACTGTGGTTTATTCATTAAAAGCTTAATTATTTAAAATTCAAAGCCGCATAGAGGGAAAGTGCATCATAACTCAAGTTAAAGGACATAAAAACTAGGAAAAATATTTATAGTATATATGAAAGTTTAAATATCCTTAATATAGGATAGTTTTAGGATAATAAAAAATGATGAATATTCCAGTAGGAAACTTAATCAGCACATGAATAGGCAATATGGGAAAGAAAAAATGGCTAATAAACATAATAGAAAAGTTAAAATTTATTAGTATTAAAGAAATGCAAATTAAAACTATGAGCTATAATTTTAAAAATCTTGGCCAATTTGCGTAAAAATGTTCATACTCTGTTTTGGTAAGTATATACAAATTAAACATTTTCCAAACACTTCTGATAGAAGAATAAATTCATACTTCTCTGAAATGCAACATGGCAAGAGGGAGTAAAAGCCACCGAAATGAGCATAATATCTGATAAGTAAAATTCTACAAGTAGGCATATACCCTAAGGAAATAAAATTCTGAACAAAATTTGGCCACAGGATGTTGACTGCCATTCTATAGGTAAAAAACATATAATTCTTCAACAATGAATTAAATCAATTGTTATCACCACATAAAGAGTATACATTTATATTTCAAAAATATACTGACTTATATGTTCATAAGTGAAATAGAGCAAGTCAGCAGCAGCATGCAAGATCCCAATTTTGTAAAACTACCTAAGAAGGTGAGCACGCACGTGCTGATTTACACAGCAAGATAACCAAAGTGTCATGGTAGGCATCCCAGGATGTGTGCTACAGTGGGAATATTTTTTTTTAAAAGATTTATTTATTTATTTATACAAGCAGTGAGTATAGTCAGAAGCGCAGGAGGGTGAGAGAATTCACCAGAGCCAGAGTGGGGAGCAGAACAGGCAGAAGGACCGAAGTGGGCGACAGGAGAGGTCTGCGCACCATGTGGGACCCAGGCCTGTGGCCGGGGATCGAACTGGCGCTGCAGAGGCTGCAGGCAGCTTCGCAGCCCAGTGCTCAACCGCTGCACCCCCGGGGAGGCCCAACATGTATTTTTTTTTAAAGATTTATTTATTTATTTACACAAGCACTGGGTACAGTCAGAAGCGCGGGAGGGTGAGAGAATTCACCAGAGCCAGAGTGGGGAGCAGAGCAGGCAGACTGAAGTACCCTGCTGAGGGGAGCAGTGGGAGGCAGGGGTCTGTGCGCCATGTGGGACCCTCCCCAGGTGGCCGGGGAGCAGCCGGGGATAGAACCGGTGCTGCAGAGGCTGCGCCACCAGGGAGGCCCCATATAGCGGGAGTATTTTTTTCCTTGTTTTTGCTTTGTTTAATTTTCAGATTATTTTCTGACATGAATAAATAACTGCTTGCTTTAACAAGAGAACAATCTTCAAAGTTATGCTTTAATCAACAAACTAGAATTTGCATTGTATAAGATCATAGGAAAGCTTCCCTCTGTAGTGTCAAAAATACGTTATTTGTGACTAGCTAAGATGGATGGCATGGCTTCTCACTCTATATTAGTTTCCTTTTATAAAACTGTTTCCACAAATTACTTTGCTAGCTGGTAAGAATTAACATGGCTGCAATTAACATAAATTCTGGCAAATATTCAAAATGGCTAACGGACATAAAATTTTTCATGCTTTTAAAAATCTTGACTATGCTTGGTTAAGAAAGCAATTTGGGAGTTAAGAAGTTGGTAATTAATGTCATTTGATGTATGGCTTAGCAGGAATCTTCAGCATTCTACAAAAATAAAATTTTAAAATTATAAAATTCTGACTACTTATACCCCCCCAGCCCCCAAGCCCGCACACGTGCGTGCGTACACACACACACACACACACACACACACAAAGGAGAAACATTTCAGGAATTTGAAAATAAAAAAATTTTTGATTCTTCTTTCAATATTTGAATGTAATGAGAAACTCACCCAAGGTAGCATACACAAACCGGACAAATTAGAAAGGGTAAAATCGGAACAGTGGACAAAAGCATTAATCTAGAGCCCAAGGGCCAGACTGGCATCATCGAAAGCTATTTATCGGACAGCTGAAAAACAATGGGAACGCTTTCATAATGATCTAATCATACTGTAAACCACCATTATCAAATCATTCATAAAATTAAAATATCAGGGTGCTATTAACAAGTTTCCTCAACTGTTAGGTCTCATCAAATTTTTATCCTATTGGAGAGTGATCTTTTAATAAGTAAAAATAAAAGCAATCCAAAATGTTGCTTTAATTAAAAGCACCTACCAGATGGCAACTCATTTTCCAATTTCACATTTTCTTCTTGTGCTGCATAATCCTCAGAAACTTCAGAAGTTTTTGTTCCTTTTCTTTGCCTGATGGATATCATGGTGTCAATGACTTACATGCATTGTTCTTCCAATCACTCCTAAAAACAACACAGAAGTAAATGGCCCATCTACAAGGTGGCACCTTTTCTCTCCAACACACCCTGTGCTCACAAGTCACATGGTGTAAATGACTTGACTTCAGTGCCTTTCCTTGCTTAGCATATCCTCCCATGTTCCCATCCAGATCGTCACCAGCCTTCAATGCCACTCTCAAGACACAACATAGTATTTAACGTAACCAAATTTATGAAGAGCCTGTTCTAAGAGTGGGGAACACAGGTGAGCATCCAGATCCAGTCCCTGCACTCCTTCCAGGAAGTCTCCCTTCTTTTGAAGTGCCAGCCTCTGCACATCTTTTCCCATCCTGAGCCACTGCTATCACCATGCAATTTATCACATAATTATGTAGCTTTATATCCTTTGCCACAGTTCCATACCATGTGAGAGGCATTCAGTAGTAAATCTGTCAGTAGCCTGACTGTTAAAACTGAATACAGTTTGTCTCAGGTATCGAATTTTATTACCTGCGTTCTTTAAAACAATTTACACTGGAAGCTATAGGAATGTGCCTCAGTGGAGCCAGCAGCGGGGGCGGGGCGTGACAATCAGGGCAGCTGCTATCCCAGGGAGCAACGGTGGGAGTAACTGCAGGGAGCAGGCGCCTGGATTGGAAGCAGCAAGTGGGAGGCAGGGGAGTGGTGGCAGTGAGTAAGCTGGTTCCAATCCCCCGGAACATCTTGCTTCGCTTATCTGAATAATGAGCAGTGTTTTACTAATCATTTATTAAATATGATCAGTTGCAGGACACAATGATGAGGGCAGATTATTAATTCCTAAAGGTAAACTAATTGCTATAGAGAAAAGAACAAGCCAGTTAACATTACACAATTAATTTATTCATTCATTCATACAAAAAAAAAAAAGTGAGAAGCAAAACAGACTTAGTAAAAGCAACAGAGTCTGGAGCAGAGAGGGAGAAAAGGCAAAGCCACATAGCCAAAGATGGTTTCTGAATCCCCAAATTACCTCCTCCTGGGGTCGTGCCCTTTTTGGGGGAAAGAAGATCTGGAAAAACCCCATCGTGGACAGAGTCTAGCGAGTTAGGACCGAAAGTGCTTAAGTGTCAACTATAAGTCAGGCACGTGACAACAGCACGAACTAGGGAACAAAAGTTTCTCCTTCAAATTAAAAAGAATATCACCCCAAATGTTTGAAAAAGGAAAGTGAAGCTTTACTTTCCATGATGAGGGTCCAGCTTGGGCTGGCATTCCGGGGCGCCGCAGGGCACGCTCCTCCGTTCCCCCCACCCCAGCATCCCGAACCCCAACGCCCCCGAGGGGCCGGCGGCGGCCGGAGAAGTTTAGTAACTTGCTCCAGTTCCTCGGAGTCCGCGGAGGCCGGACACCAGGCAGGCCTCCCCCGCGCGCGAGCCCCAGCGCACAAGTCGCCCCCTCTTTGCAAACTTCCTCACCCCCGAGTTGTCGCCCCCCGCCCCGCGTTCTGGGCGGGCGGTCCGGCGCCCAGAGCCGCCCCGGGGAGCCCCACGACGCCGCCAGAGGCCGGGCCGCGCCCCCCGACCGCGCGCCCGCGGACTCCCGAGAGTCGCGGCGGGGTCCCCTGAACGCCGCCCCCCGCCCGCCCGCTCGCCCGCCGGCCGCCCGGGGCCGGCCGCCGAAGCCTCGCGCCCGCGCGGCCCGACACGCAGCCACAGACCTGCGGCCTCAGCCGTCCTCGCGCGCGCTCCGGGCGGGGAAGCAAGCCGGCGGGGCGGGCCGCCGAGGGCCGCGGGGGCGGGGCCGCGCTCGGGCCTCGCCGCGCCGCCGGGACAGCGGGGACTCGCAGCCGCGCAGCTTTGTGCGACACCCTGCAAATGGGGACGGGGGGCGTCAGCGGCCCCGCAGAAAGGGGCGCGCCGGGGAGGCCGGGCCGCTGCGGCCGCGCCCATAGGTCTCGGGAGCCGTCCGTCAGAGCGAGACCCCGCCCCCTCCCGGGACGCCCCGCCCCGTCTCGTGCGGCGCCGGCCGGAAGGAAGCGGCGCACTTCCGCCTGTCGGGCTGTCGGCGTCCGCCGCGCGCTGCTGCCGCCGCTACCTCGGGGGCGGCGAGCACAGCTGCCGGGTTGGCGTGGCCGCCGGCGGACTTCTGGGGCTTCCCGGGCTCACTTAGCCTGCCGCGCCCCCGGGCCAGAGCGAGAGGTGCGGCTCGGACGGGGAGCAGGAGCCGGGCCGCGCGCAGGGGTGGCCTCAGGTCGGGCGGCGAGCGCGCCCACCCGGCTTCGGCCTCAGGCCCCAGACTTGGGGGCGGGCGGGCGGGCGGGCGGGGGTCGCTCCTGACTTCCTCCAGCCGGTGCCCGCCGGTGGGTGCTGGGGTTTCGGTGAGGCCACGACGGGCGGAAGCAGCCCCACCGCTCGGCTTCCGGGGTGGCCAGCCTTGGGCGCCCCTCCCGGGTTTTGGCAGCCCGGCGTGACCCCGGTTGCCTTTGATCTGTGCTTGGAAGCCTTTTGCAGACTCCCAGGGAGGGTACCTGCCGACGTGCTTCGGCAGCTCCAAAGACTCCCCGCTTTTTGTTAGGGGGCGGGGACACTGTTTTCTTCCTGGATTTGTCTTTAGGAATCTGCTGTGCCTTGCTCCCCTGTGTTACTGTCTCCAAGCTAGAGTGTCACTTCTGAGGACAGGTTGTGGGCTGTTTCCATGGCTGTCTTTCTTAATCCCGCTGCGAAAAACAGCAGATAAAGCCTTTTGCCAGCACAGACTCAAACCACGTGTTGGTTTTTCTTAAGGAACTGTCCCCACCTGTGAAAAGCCAGGCCATCCCTCTAATTCCACCACAAAATGCCTTCATCCAGGAAGCCTTTCCTAGTTTCCCTGTTGGGTAGTTTTCTTCTTTGTGTATCTGTTGCTGTTAGTAACAAGCACACATTCTGTGTTGGTGGATTGAGGTATCTGCTGAATGGCTTTAATAAAAATGAATGTCAGCGGCTTTTTCAGATGGCGTTTGTCATGTTTCAGTGTGGTTGTGGGTGTCTTCCTTGACGTTATGGATTTGAGAGCAGGGACTGTGTATAATCTTTCATGTTAAGATGCCTTACATGATATGCATTTGAGTGCTTAGTAAATACATACGTGATTTGAGTCCACCTTAAATAGAATCCCCACTCCATTGTATTTGTATTTTTCCTTAAATTGTTGTCTCACACTGGGGGGAAATATGTCTGTCGTGAAGCATGCATCCCTTGAGTAAAAGAAATAGTACTCATTAGCAGCTGCTTGTTTGTTTTAATATGAAATGATTTAGCTAAGCAAAATAAGCTTTGAGACTTAAAAGAAAGTAGGCATCCACTGCTGAGAATAAGTCCTGGGAATAGTAAGTCAGTTAAGAATGAGCCCTTACTCTGGTGAATTTTCTCACCCTCCCGCGCTTCTGTCTGTACCCAGTACTTGTATAAATAAATAAATAAATCTTTTTAAAAAAAAAAAAAAAAGAAAATAAGAAGAAGAATGAGCCCTTAGCCTGATAGGCCAGTGCTGGAGGTGATGGATGAGGGATAGTAGGCCCTTATGCCGGTGAGGTCTGGTCATGGATTCTGACTACAGTGTGTGCAGGAACACTTGCGTTATGGACTCTGGCTTTTCCTCTCGTGTCCAGTAATAGTTAAACTGCGGTCCTCAAGAGTGTTTTCTGGAACCTGCAGCATCACAGTCATTAACTGGGAGCTTGTTAGAAATGCAAGTTATCAGTCTGTAGAGGTGGGGACTCATCTGTTTTAAGACATTCTCTGTGATTCTGCACTCGATAAAGTTTGAGAACCACAGCAAACCCTTGCTACTCAAAATGTGGTCTGTGGACTAGCAGTATTGTATCACCTTAGAAACGATCTCAGACTCTCCCCAAGACCTGAACCAGAGTCTGCGTTTGAATATAATCCCAAGGTTTTTTGTGTGTATGGCACAGCTTGAGAAGTCACTAACACTGTCCACCAAGGGAGGTCCCAAAGTAAGATACTTTTTTATCGGAAGGTTGTGAACAGTGCTAGTGACTTCTCTGTTGGCTTTTTCCTGTCTGGTACACAATGTTTAGCTTTAAATTTCTTGATTATGAATACTCTTGATCACTCCTGGTTTTTTGTTGTTTTTTTTTTCAATGTCTTGCAAGCTCCTCTACCTCTTGAAAATCAACAATTATTTGGCCGATGGCTCCAGTTTTCACTGTGATTCCAATAACTCATAAATTTTTATGTTTCAGTGTATCTCCTGATCTCCTGATCCTATATGTCCATTGTTTAGTGGACATTTATTTCCATGTGTGCCAACACCTCAAATTCAATTTGGTAAAAATTAAATTTCTGGGGCCTCGCTGGTGGCGCAAGGGGTTAAAGCACAGTGCTGTGAAGCTATCCACAGCCTCTGCAACAGTTCGATCCCCAGCCAGCCAGGGAGCTACCCATGTGGTGCAGCAGACCACTCCTGCCTCGCCCGCCCACTGCTCCCTTCAGCAGTCTATTTCTGTCAGTCTGTCTGTTCTGCTCCCCACTCTGTCTCTGGTGAAGACTCTCACCCCCACACCTCTTGCCTGTACCCCAGTTCTTGTATGCATAAATAAATTAAATCTTTTAGAAAAAATTAAACTTCTAATCCCCAAACCTGCTTTTCCTTCCATGTGCCCCATTTATCTCATTGCTCAAATCAAAAACCTCAGAGCCAAACTATGTTCCCCCTGTCATGTAATCCATGTTTCCAATTAAACATTTGCTCCTGCTGGGCTTATTCCTAAACATCCTAGAACTTGGCCAACATTCCTCCATCTCCGCTGCCATCAACCTAATCTAAGTTACCATTTCTGTTCTGGGTCATTTCCATACCTGGTTCCTTACCTTCAGTCCTGCCCCCTGTCCTTGTCCACCAGTCCATTCAAAGTGTAATAAGCAGACTGATGTTATTAAAATATAAATCTCTTGGTGGCTTACTGACTTTATGGTAAAAATCAAGCTTCTTTTCATAGCTTGTAAGGATTGACATGAACCAGCCTCTTAACCTCTCTAGTCTCATCTCTATTTCTATTCATAAATTCTTTCCAAGGTTTTATAAGTGAGCACTCTCTTTACCTAACTACCATTCAGCCTCTACTGAAATGCCGTCTATTGAGTGAGCTACCTTGGAGGATGACCCACAGCTCTAGGTCAGCCTTAAGATGACTGCAACCTTATGAGAGATTCTAAGCCAGAACTGTCCATATGGGTGACTCCTAAATATCTGACACACAGAATCAATAAGAATAAGTGTTTATTGTTTTAGGCTATTGCATTTTGGGGTAGTTATTCAATGAGATCATCAATGCTAGAATAACCCTCCATATGGATGTATCACAATTTATTTCCTTCTAATTGGACACTTTGGTCGCTTCTAGTTTTAGATTATTACAAGGGATATGGTGGAGAACATCATATGTTGAGGTAATTTTTTTTTAAGGTTTATTTATTTATACAAGAACCGGGGTACAGACCAGATGTGCAGGAGGGTGAGAGGATTCACCAGAGACAGAGTGGGGAACAGAACAGACTGATGAAATACACTGCTGAGGGGAGCAGTGGGCACAACAGGAGAGGTCTGCCGCACCATGTGGGACCCTCGCCTGCCGGCCTGGATCAAACCAGCGCTGCAGAGGTTGCAGACAGCCTCACAGCGCAACGCTCAAACGCCTGCGCCACCAGAGGAGGCCCTGTTGAGGTAATCTTTAGAATATATTTCTAGAAAATTGCTAGAACTCATTTTATTTATTTTATTTTTAAAGATTTATTATTTATTTATTTATGCAAGCACTGGGTACAGTCAGAAGCGTGGGAGGGTGAGAGAATTCACCAGAGCTAGAGTGGGGAACAGAACAGGCAGACTGACGAAATACTCTGCTGAGGGGAGCAGCAGTCCGGCAGGAGAGGTCTGCGCGCCATGTGGGACCCTCGCCGGCAGCCGGGGACCGAACTGGCGCTGCAGAGGCTTCAGGCAGCCTCGCAGCCCAGTGCTCAATTGCTGCGCCACCAGGGGAAGCCCTAAAACTAGTTTTAAATTAGAATAAACAGTGGCAAACTACATTCCACAAAGGTTAAAAATTTTATTACTTTATACTTTAATTAATGTGTATTTTTTTTAAAGGGGCGGGGATGTGTGTGTGTGTGTATGTGTGTGTGTGTGTGTGTGTGTGTGTAGAAAAACTGAGTTGTAGGCCAGAGGTGCAGGGAGTGAGAGGATTCACCAGAAACAGAGTGGGAGCAAAACAGGCAAATCTACTGAAATACACTGCTGAGAGGAGTAGCGGGTGAGATGGGGGAGGTTTGCTGTGCCATATGTGGGTCAGCTCCCTGCCCCGGGAATCAAATCATTGTGGCAGTGAAAGTGCTGAGATTTAACCCCTGGGCCACCAGGGAGGCCCGTTAACCAATGTGTATTATGGCACTTATTTCTCCATGCCCTTGCCTACAATGGCTATTTTTCATCATTGCCAACCTTAGGTAACAAATGCTGTATCACTTTATGATGTAGAGACAGTTACAGCAATGGCTTATTGACCCTTTGATGTCTTTTCATGTTATATTTAACCTTAATAAGAAGGGGTTATGTATAGATTATGGATATTAATTAACTTTTGGTCATATAACTAACAGATATTGTTTCATTATTGTGTCCCTGGCATAGTGGTTTTCACTCTGCACCTATTTTCCTTTTTGCTATTGTCAAATCTGTCATCTTACCTTTATGGCTTCTGGGTTTTTCTGTCTTAGAA